GAGCAGGGAAGTCGGACATGCCCTACAGTGTGACACATCAGACATGGGGGTGAGCTTGGGGGCTCCATCTAATCCTCCCCTCCACACGTCATCAGAGTGAGATGCTGAGCTGAAGGCACCAGAAGGCAGAGATAATTAAATATGAGATTACTGAACACCTTGCAGTAGCTTTCAACCAGATTCTACCAGTTAGCAATTAGCTTACTCCTTGGAACATAGATGTTATTACTCTAATTTTCTAATATAATTAACAATTAGAATTCTCAGTGGTCTTATAACCCATGTAGAGGTGTATTGCTGGCTTTTGAATTTTGTTTTCTTCATTGCAACAGAACCTGATAGCAAAGAGTTTTACTGTAGTCCTGGCCTCAGCAACCAACTTTTGAATCTGGAAATGTATAATGACAGTAAGCCACAAAACAACTTTTTCCAAGGCTCCACCAATGAAGATGGAACTTTTTATTCTGAAAATTGTGAACATATGAACTGTTATTCCCACCAGATTTCACTCAGCTCAGACTCCTGCCTCCCCTGACAGGCAATATCATGTGCTATAGACAACAGGACGAGAGCAAGCACGGAGTGATCCTTCCCAGGGCGCTCAGCAGCAGCTCACAGACCTCCCAGGCTGCAGAATTATCTTCTTTAAAAGGAATCTCGGATGGATTTTGCAGCATTTGGAGCAAACACTTGCAGACAACAGTGTGTGGGGCTGTCTGAGCCCCAGCAGCCATCACCAACCACCGCATACAGGCTTAGGATTTTCCGTCTTTTGCTCCTGCCACCCGGAGGTTGCTCTGTGATGCCACTGCTCCAGTTAAACCATCCCTAACCCCCACCACTGCAGGAACTGGCCAGGACAACTTTTCACAGCAACTGGCCCAGCTGTTAAAGGTGATACATGTTACTTTAAACCAAATGTCTGTGCAAACCTGGCAGGATCCTGGTGAGAACCCACGGGGCTCCCAACAGGATCCTGCCTGGTTTCCTCATAACTCACCTGGTGTCCTCAGGAACAGCCCACCCGCAGCTACAGCTCCCAGAGAAACTGGCAGCAGGGAATATTCTCATGGCTCACCATGGGAATTACATCTAGACCCAATTTTAATGACATTAAGACCCTTGAAGGTGCAGAATTACAACAATCAAGAAAAAAAACAATAATGTATATAGAAAAGCTGAAGAGAAAACTGAAATGAAGAGGGGGGGAAAGAAAGCAGGCAATCTCATCTAAAGTGAAACTATTCCCAGCAAAGAAGAGGTACCTGCCAACCAACCTGTCTTTTGGATGACAGCAATGGGTCCCTCCTGATTCCTCACACAGAAACACCTTTCTTCAGCAAGACCACTAAGTAAAGGGAGGGACTGTCCTTAGGAAATTCAAGGGAATGGGGGAAAAGTACTGAAATAAAAGAAATCATTTGAGGATATTCACAGCAAAGTTCCAGTGATATCCATTTGATTATTGTGTAATAGTCTCCATGGGAAGTATTAAAGCCATCAAAAGCATGAGAAACAAATTCATGCCAGAGAGTAATGAGAATAAACTCCAAAGAGCATTCCTGCTCTGCTCCCCAAGGGCAGCTGTCTGCTCTCTCACACCTTCCACAGGGCAAGGTACTACTCCATTTCAATGCTGGAAAGTCAGCTGAGACAGTTTCCCCAAATGGAAAACACCTCTTTGGTCAGCACACAAGTGGACTGGCTTCTCCCTGACTTTCATTGCCAGTTCAGACTCTCATTAAAACAAAATAAAAAGGCACAAAACAAACAGAAGAGCTCCAAGCTACTTTAAGTCTTCCCCACCCTTCATTTCCCTTTGTGTTGTTCACTTCCCACCTGTCCAATGACCCCCATCAGGTGTCTCAGCCACCCCAGGGCCCTGAACACTTCTCTTCTGAGATGGTCCAACACTCACCATCTTCCTTCAAGCTGCTGCTTTAAAAGAGGCTGCACGCCCAGTTCCAGCAGATGTTTCCTCACAGATCCCAATAAACACACAACTATTTCAACAGAACAGCAAGAGACAGGCAAGAGAGCTCCTTCCCAAAAAGCTCACCCACCTAAATATAACATGTTCAGAAAGAGGGAAAGGGTTCAATATTAAGCTGTTCCACATGGCCCTTTCCCTCATTCCCTCAGTGTCCCTCACATTGCTATTCCTGACCACCGGCAGGCAGATCCAAGGACTATGAACTGTTCAGCTTGGCCATGAAGAGGAGTAAGAAGCCCTAAATCACAGAGTTTTCTCAGTCTGCAGACCCAATCTAAACAAAAACCAGAATGCTGTTCAACCCTTCCTGGGAGTCAAGGGAAAGCAAGTCAAACCAGGCTCAGAAATAAGCTGCACAGTACTACCCATGAAACATTATCATAACCCATTGTGTTGGTGCCCTTTTAAAGGACACTTTAGGGCATATTCTGTTGAAATGTTAATAAATGAGTTTAAAAAGCAGCACTTAAATTACTCCATACACCTCAAATGTCATACTGCTTTCCCTCTTGTAACAGCTCCTTTATTTGAATCAATGAAGAGAAATCTACAACAAAATAAAAGAACCCTACACCTATTTTCCATGATGTGGGTTTCTTCCACTTCTGACAGTCAAACATGGGCATCTGGAAGAAGAGCCATCCAAGCCACAATGTCCAAGAGTTATCCTTCACACACAGCACCACTGGCCAGTTTGTGGAAACCAAGATTAGAACAAACTGCAATGTTTGCCTTGAGCTGATACTTCTGCCTGCCAATCATGTATGTATTTTAAGACAAATCCTGATGCTAAACGAAGAACATGCATTGTAATCTTTCCTGTAACATTCTTTTTACTAGAATATATTTAGAGCCCTTTTATCCCAACCAATACTTGTCTTTTTTTCTTTGTGTGCCACAAAGGGAGTTCCTCCTTGTTCCTAAGAGATAGAGTTCTACACAATGGACTTTAACAGATTTCAGTTCCTACACAGTATTTTTGCAAAGGTATTATTAAACATTATAATTAAAATAATTATACTTGGCAAATAAGCAACTGTGGAACGTGCTCCCTCTTCTTTCTTTTCCAGCACTGCTCAGTTTTCTACCGGTTTGCTGCTCTACCAGTCATTACCAGGAATGGGATGGGGCTGCTTTTGAGGACAACTGTGCAGAAAGTAAAGGTGTTGAGCTGGGGCACAGGCTTCCACCCTACAGTAGCTAATTTAATTTCTCATTAACTTCTGACCCTCTGGACTCGTCCGCTCCATAGGAACCATGTGCAATAGCTCAGCTCACTTTAATAACAGGGCACAAAACATGACTCAGTTCCCCTGAAGACACTGCTGTGCACTTATCATCTTCCTAACAACATCCTGGGAGCAGCAAAGTCTTTGTCCAAAGAGAAGAAAACCTCTGTAACTCCAGCACACTGTGGTTTCCCCTTCGTCTTTCTTTACATCACTTAAAAACTTATGAGGTCTACTCCATGCATCTTTGGAATTTGTTCCAAGCAAGTCAGAGTTTAACAATACAGGATTCACTTACAATCAGTAATTGCTCATTTTAATGACAAGTTTTCAACATGACTTGCCACAGTTATTAGTGTACTACAGAAAGGATCTGCAGTAGGAACTGAAACAAAAATCCCCAGGGCAGATTATTTCAGCGTATTAGGCAGCACCACCCCAGGATTTCTACCACATGGCCAGTTTTTCACAGTTCAAAGACAGGTAGATGTTGCACAGTGATGACAGATCCTTTGGCTCCAGTCCTGAACACACACAATGCAAACACTGCTGTTCCCTGTTGTTTGACTACTGGGGTAACACGCTCGTTGCTACCACTTGCAGACCACAGATTCTATTCTCCACTGAGGAGACGAGAAGAAAACAAATCACACTTCCAGATCCTGGATTTGACTGGGCATTCATAAAAACTGATCACACATTCATCACCACAGTCCCCTATAACCTTGTGGCACAGCTGAAGCGAGGATATTTTCAATGTGTTTTACACCAAACCTGCATGTGCAAGCTTTGCCTTGTGCTAACCAGCTGTGGTTTTAAATGCTGGAGTTACATGCATGAAATATTAAAATGTTTCTGCCATCACAGTCCTCAAAGAACTCATCCCTTTTAAGTTAAAACTGCAAGAAGTTACTTAAAAATTTATTTCAAACTTACTGCCGTTTTCATGAAAGACCTATTTTCAAATACCCCGAACAACACCTTTGTTGATTTCAAAAATATTAACATCAAAGTGACTCGGAAAGCGGATCAGATGAAGGCAAACATCAGCATCAGCACCACGAAAACTGCCGAAACACTCGGGTGTCACTGGACGTTTCACTGCCCCCAGACTTGCAGGGGCTCTCTCGAACTGACCAGCTCAGGTGTCCCGAAGGACAGGAACGAACACAGCTCACGGCTCATTTCACAATACGAACACGCACGTCTCGTGTTCGGGGTTTTTTTAAGGGTTTATTTCCTTTTACTCGGTGCACTTAAGAGAACTCCAGCCTGTTAAGGCAGCAGGGAAGCGAGTGCCGTGGGAGCTCCAAGCGGATCCAGGGACAACCCGCGCCCGCCGCGGGGACCGGGGGACCCGCACCTGGGGACCCGCACCCGGGCAGGGCCGGGCGGTGCCTCCGGACACCGCGACGCCCCTCCACAGCGAGAGAAGGGTCAGTATTTACTGCTGAGAAGTCGCCTCTGCAGTTCCCTGCCCTGTACAACCCCCGCGGCGGCGGGTCCGTGTAACACGCCCGTGCCCAGGGCACACACGGTGTGCGGGGTGTTCTGCAGCCCGGCAGCGCCCGGCCCAGGGGCTGGGCCTGACCCGCACCCGGACCCGCGGCAGGGCCGGACCGACCCCGGACCGACCCGACTCGCCCGGGCGGGTCCCTGAGCGGGAGTTCTGCATCTCCCCTTCCCGGTGCCCCGGGCCCTCCCGCTGCCCGGGGCCGTACTCACCGCCTCGGCCACCTTCCCCCGCCCAGGGTGCCCCGTACCAGGGCCGTACTCACCACCTCGGCCACCTTCATCCTGCCCAGGGTGCCCCGCAGGTATTCCAGGTCGCAGCGGAGGCCGCCCAGCCCGCGGCGCTGGCTGACGGGCTCGGTGGTGGGCTGGTAGGGGCTGCTGGCGGCCGAGATCATGGAGGCGCTGGACGCCTCGCCGTCGAAGCCCTCCAGGTCCTCGCCGTTCCTCATGGTGCCGGGGCCGCCGGGGCCGCGGGCCCGGCCCAGCGCCGCGCTCAGCTACGGCCGCGGGCGCTGCATGGCCGCCCCGAGCCGGCCCGGGCCGGGCCCAGCGGGGGCCGGGCGCTGCCGCCGTACCCCGCAGCCGGGCGGGGCGGGGTCCCGGGGCGGCGAGAGCAGCCGAGCGGTGCCCGGGGGTGCCCCGGAGCGGAGCGATGTCCCGGAGCCCTGCCCGCCGTCCCCGCCCCGCCGCTCGGGGGCGCGCCCGGCTCCGCCGGTCCCGGTCCCGCTCCTAATCCCGGTCCCGCTCCAGAGCCCGGTCCCGACCCCACAGCACAGCCCCGCTCCGAGCGGCGCCGCCGCGGCCGCTCCTCCCCCTGCGCCGAGCGGAAAGGGCGGGCAGAGCCGGCCCGGAGGGCGCGGGGCCGGGCGGGGCCTGCGCTGAGACCGCCCCGCGGGGACCGCACCTGGAACGGGAACAGCGACAGCAGCGCTCGGGACCGCACCTGGAACGGGAACGGGCGGGGACCGCACCTGACCGGGAACAGCGACCGGGCCGGACCGCACCTGACCCGGGAACCGGGGACGGATCGCACCTGGCCAGAGAACCGGACAGGGACCGCACCTGGGACGGGAACAGCGACAGGACTGGGGCTGGGGACACTCCCGGTGTCCGCCCGGCCCTCGGGCAGTGCCGGGGCTCTACAGGCGCTGATGGTGGTGCCGAGGCTGCGAAAGCCAACGCTGCTGACACACCCGAAATGCACCCACAGCTCGTCCCGAGCACAGCCCTGAGCTCCAGTCCCTGCCCCAAGCTGCAGTCCAAGCCCCGAGCTCCAGTTCCAGCCCCGAGCTGCAGTCCCAGCCCCGAGCACAGCCCCGAGCTGCAGTCCCTGCCCTGCCCGGCACTGCCTCTCTCCTGCACTGACCCGCACCCGCAGAACTTCCAACAGCAAAAACCTCCAGAGCATTCTTCCACCAGTGTTACCTTTAAATGCTTCTAAATAGTGACGTTTTCCAAGTAAACAGTCTTTACTGGCTCTAAATCACCTTTTGGAGGCACTTTCTCTCTTGCTGTGTCACCACAAATAAGGAGAAGTTGCAACATGACCTGGCCAGTCCAGGTGAGTGAAATGCAGCTGTGCCACAGACCGAGATGAAATGAGAGCGCTCAGTGTTGTCCTGTGATCTGCCGGGTTATCAGCCAGGTCCCCGCTCCTGTCCGTGTCCCTCACAGTCTACACTGTTTTCCCCATGACAGGACTTTATCTCTTCTAGCACCTTCCTCTGGCCTCCCAGAGCCTGTCTTTGGTTCTTCTGTTTTCCATGAACACTCGGATTATCAACATTGGAACTTTCTTTCCAGTTACCTCTGTGTTACTTCATCTCTCCCTTTCAGTTCTCTTGAAGCTTCTTTAATCTTTCTTTTCATGGGTTCTGCCCCAAACATGTGATTTTTAATTTCAATATGTGTTTCTTTTTTCCTTTGGCCTCTGTATAAAATGCCCCTAAGGAGTAGGGGCAAGGGGACAGCCTGGGAGAGCACACCAGGGAAAAAGGTGGGGATTTGTTCACCATTCCCAGCTGACTGTGCAGCCAACACAAGTCCTTTCACAGCCTCCCTGGTGCTGGAAGAGGCCAATGTTCTCAAGCAAGACGAAGAGGAGACATGGCTAAGAAAGGGAAACCATTGCTCTTTGGTGAAGGGTGAGTGGCAGGGAAATAAAAGATAAATAAAATAAAGCATGAGCAAGGCATGGAGAAGGAGGGGTGGTCACATGAAACCAGCCCAACAAGATGAAATTGTAAATGTGAGGGGGAATCCTGCATCAGCACAGGGCCACGATGGACTAACAGGTTTTACAGTCTCTTATTTCAGTTCTTGTATAACTCTGGGGAAATCAGAAGCCTCACAAAGCTCCTCTTCTTGCAGGAAGTATCATGAGTAGGTGGTTGCCACTTCTGAGAGCACCTCTGGATTATAACTTGTGGCTGCACAGCTGTTTCAGGAACACAGGTGTATTTACCTATAGAGACATTTAGCATTTGTTTCGAGGGACTGCTTTCTTTCAGAAAATTATCCTCACCAAAATAAGGAAAACATATTTTAAACATGCAGTGAATATTATTTTGGTGATTCTTTTGCAGTTCTAACCACAATATATCAGTATGTTCGAAGAGAATCAAAAGGTGGTGTTGCAGGAGGCAAATGAAGGACAAAGGGAGAGACGGTTGAGTGATTTAAACAAAAGGCAAGCTGATAAGAGATCTTGATTCTGGGGTTTGGCTCAGCCACTGCCTCCTGCACACCCTTCAGCAAACCTCCTGATAGCTTGGTTTTCTTCTTTCTCTTCCTTTTCTTAGCTTTGTTTTCTTCTTCCCTTCTTATGGAGGACACAAAGTTTAAATGTATTCAAAATCCCCAGAGCAGCTGGAGGGTTCTGGGAAGTGCAGGCACACCGAACCCCCTGTTCCTTAGGGAGCCAACTGCCCCGGTAGGGAAGCACAGCCCGTGTTCCCTGTGCTCTCAGGTGGTGTTTGAACACCTGGGAGGGCTGTTCCCAAGTGTCCCGAGTGTCCCAGCTCCGAGGGGAGGCCACAGTGCCCCCTTGGCACCAGGTGGGCACAGTCAGGGACCCTCTAGAGAGGGCACAGCTCCAACCCGAGCCAAACCAGGGGCTTCTGGCATCCTCCTGGACGGGTGGGTGGGCTGGACACACTTGGCAAGGCCTCCAGAGGTTCCTGCCAACATTTAACAAAGGAATCCTTTACACACATTCCTGCCTGATGCGGCACCTTTTCAGCCCTGCAGCACTCCCGGGGAAAAAACCTCTACGTTTGATATGTAAATGAAAGTATTGATCCGGTGGAAAGGTCACTGCATTCAGCCAAGGCAGATCCTATCGCTGTAACTTGGGGTTTACAAGTTCCTGAGCTCTCCAAGCACAGCCTGGCATTCCATTGTGTGCCTACAGAGACAAGGAAAGTGGGCAACCGGGTCAGTGATCACCACTCCAGACACCACATCGAGCTAATCAGGTCATGGAATTCATCACAGAGGACTTCACGTCCAGCTAAATTAGGGCTAAAGAGTGAAAACAAGGCAGAAACGGCACAGAGGGGAAATCCGAGTATGCTGTTCATAGACACTGTAATTAAATGAGCTGAGATCTGGGTTTTTACTGAATGGTTAGGCCAGCTCTGACAGAAATAAAAATCCCCCATCAGAAAGAATCTCCAGGACAGTGGTCAGAAATGAAAATCAAGTGGTGATTCAGGTGTAAAAAGAAGTGGAAAGAGAATCATAAATATTCTCACTGATCAAACTGAACAAAGCAACCCTGAACCCTTGACTTTCATCTCAGCTATTCCTAGAGCCTTTAATAAACAGCCTCTCATAAACTTCTGAACTACTCGTGGGTTCATTTCATTAAGTGTTATTTCCAAGATAAAACTGTGTGATTCTATTCCAGCTGAATAGGAATATCAACTTAATACCAGATTTTTAAAGCTGCATTTATGTAGTTTTAACACACTTAAAAGTATTTTAATGCTTACACATAAAATTTTGTAGATCTGAATGGTGCTTATTAGGAATGGTGTTTCAATGTAGTTAAGAATGTAAAAGGCATTAGAATTCTAACAGGAAAGTTCCATCTGTGCAAGTACCTGAAAAGAGTTGAGAGGTTCTTTAAGAAATGCTCCGGTATTTCCACATGACCTACCAAAGGGAAGGAGCACTGGTCTGCTGCCAAATTCCAGGAGAGCTGAGCAGTGATTAGAGTTTAACTTTGGCATCACACAGGAGGCTTTTTTTCCCCTCGAATTTCTCAATGTAAAAAAATGCTGAAGCTCTTTCTCAACTTTTCAGTTGGGGGAAAAAAAGAAACCCAAACCCCACCCTAAAAAGCTAATAAAGAACTTGCTTTAGGAAAACATCTGGTAGCTTTGAGTGCCTCAGTGCAGCGAATTGTCCCTTTCCACAGTGTGGGAGTGTGGCATGAACACTGGGAGTCTGCAGCCATGGGAAGTGGGCAAAGCATTTTGCTGAGTCAGAGTTAGGAATTAATACAACAAGAATGAGCTGCAAGTTGTGACATGGACTTTAAGAAGATGGGAAACTGTGGGGAATGGTGGGGAGTCGAGCAGGGAGTTGGAACTGCAGCTGGACACTGAGAGGGTTCCTGGGACAGCACTGCCAGAGGCACCTCAGAACAGCCTGAGGCCTGAACTGCTCAGCCTGGAGTCAAACACGTCCTGTCAGCTGAGGGGAACAGAGAGGAACTGATGTGAACCTGGGAGAGCTTCTTGCACTGAGCATGCAGCAGTTCCCCTGCCCACAGCAGTTCCCCTGCCCACAGCAGTGCCCCTGCTCAGAGGGGTGGGTTTGCCCAGGGCACCTCGGGCACACCTGGCACAGCACAGAGAGGGATCCCTGGGCTGGGCTCTGCTCAGAGAAGTGCAGCTGCAGTGACCAAAGGTGTCAGTGAGTCTGTTCCTCTCCTCAGCTCCAGGACAGCACTGGCCCCTGCACACTGTCAACACCTTCACCTGTATCCCAGCCCTCCCTGGAAAATAAACAGAGCAGCCCTGGAAGGGCCTCCAGGCCTGGGACACTCGTGTCCCTGATGTTCCAATCCCAGCCCCAGGGGCAGCCCCAGCTCTCCCAGGGACCACAGGCAGAGCTGAACTCACCCCAGGACTGTCCCAAGGAGCTCTACGGGCTTGGCTTCACCTTTAAGGGCACAGACAAAAGTGTCACTCCTGGAACTTCACTATCAGGAAACAGTATTTCCCCTTCAAAAACAAACCAAAAAGAAAAAAAAAACAACAACCCAAAACCCACAAAATGAAGAAAGGCAACACTGCCAATCAAATCAGTGAGACCTTACCTTGCACACATGACCATGACCTCATGTGCTTTTAACAGTGAGCCATTCATGGAGCAACTTTATTTTAATTTTTTACTCCAGAATTAAAGACTGACATCTCATTCAGTATCATCTACTGGTT